AGCAAGGGTTTGATGGTGCAGTTCTTAAGGAAGTCTTCTTCCAGGTGGCTCATAAAAAGGTTGGCATACTGTGGGGCCATTTTAGTGCCCATAGCTGTTCCCATCATCTGGAGGAAGTGTTGATTATTAAAAGTGAAATTGTTGTGTGTGAGGATGAAGTGTATAAGCTCAGTGATATCTTTGGGTCTGTATTCTGGGTTGTAATCTTGTTCCTGTAGATATGTAAGGCAGGCATGGATGCCATCCTGGTGTGGGATGTTGGTATATAGGCTGATAATGTCCATGGTGGCTAGGAATGTGTTGCTGGGAAGGTGGTCTATGTTTTTAAGTTTCCATAGCAAGTCTGTGGTGTCTCGGACAAAACTTGCTCTGTGGGTGACAAGCGGTTTTAGGATGGATTCAACAAAACCTGATATTTCCTCAGTTAGGGTCCCATGGTTGGATATGATAGGTCTGCCAGGGTTCCCTTGTTTGTGGATTTTAGGGAGCATGTAAAAAGTCCCTGGGTTAGGTAGCGGGGGGATCAAGGTCTGTAGTTTTTCTTGTAATCTTGGTGGAAATGATTTGATGGTATTGTTGAGTTTTTTGGTGAAAAGGGGAGTAGGATCTTCTTGTAGTTCTTTGTAGTAGGTGGTGTCAGAGAGTTGTCTGTTGGCTTCCTTTATGTAATCCTCACAGTTTAGGATGACTATGGCTCCCCCTTTATCTGCTGGTTTTATTACTATTTGGTGGTTAGATCTTAGAGATTCTATGGCCTTTTTCTCTGGTAGAGAGAGGTTGTTGTGGTGGCGTGTGTTGCTGATTATTTCATTGTTCATTCTTTCCCTGAAGTAGTCAATGTAGCGGTCAAGGTTAGGGTTTCGTCCACTGCGAGGTGTCCAATCTGATGTTTTTTTGGGTTTTTTGACATTGATCTTTTCTTGAATGTTGTCAGAGGATGAGTTGTTGTTGGGAGTGGGTTCAGTTTGGTCGTGGAGAGGGTATGATTTTTGTACAGCATATAGTACAACTTTATACTGATTTGGACCTCTGGGCCCTATCAGTTTAAATATTGAGTAATAAATAGTGAACTCCTTTTATCTGAAGAAGGGCATCTTCTTGCCAGTTTCAGTGCTGCCTCTGAGGGGAAATAATATAACATTGTGGGTAGGGGAGAAGCTTTTTTCCAGCTCCTTTACTTACATAGGCAGCTGCAATAAAAAAAAAAAAAGAGGTCCACCCAGGGAAAGATTTGGGAAGCAGAGACAAGCAACTAATTTGGAAGGAGAGCTAAGCAGATGGCACATTTTTTTCTTCACTCAAACTTCATGATCCATGTTGTAATTTAATGGAATAAACTAGTTGTTCACACTTTTTATAGATTTTAATATGAAGAAATAAGTATATTACCAATGCTAATTAAAGACAGTGGCAATCTCAACTTGCTATAACATTGAATCAATAATTAGCCCGTTCAAGTGATAAAAATCTCCAAGCTAATATAGTAAGTGATCATACCAAATGATGACATTGATAGCCTCCTTAGGATCTAGGAAGATATTCTAGACTTTTTACTAGCAATGAATGATGACCTGAATATATAATTTGCAACCTTTTCTAACGGGATTTTGATCTAACATATAAAAGCAGCTTGTGTTTTTATCAGAACAAGTTCTGTTCATGATTAAAAGTTTTCCCAGGCTTTTAGGGAGGGAAACCATCATAAGCCAAACTCTGATTCTTATGGGCTTTGCCTGAATGCCAGGGGGCATGACATGATTCTAAAGAAAACAAGATATTGGAGGGTGCCAGTCACAAAGGAAGAACAGCACTGCTACAGCTAAAGGCACTATACTTTCCCCAGCACCTCTTTGGGCAGAAGGGAAAGCAAAAGGCCAGGTTTGAGCTTTTCTCTTCAGCACCGTTCAGGGGCAAGAACCTGCTGTTCCGTGATGCCACTCAGCACCTGCAGCTCCTTGAGGATCAAGCAGAGATTGCCCACATCCTTGGCCTGGACTACGTAGCCCTCCTGAAGGGACTGGGTCATGAAGGTGAGCACTCTCAGGGAACAGAAAGGGAAGGGGAAAAAGTAGCTCCTATGTCACAAGGGAGAGAAGTGCACAAAGAAGTTGGTTAGGAAAGAGATCTTACAGTATATAGATGACACACCTCCCATTGCTCTTCTCTGCTGTTATAGGAAGTTCCTTGGACAATAGTGTCGTGCGCTGGTGCTGTATTAGCCATGCTGAGCTCCGCAAATGTGAGGAATGGGCCCTGAGCATCAAATCTGACCCTCTGGTTTGTGTCCAAGCAACTTCAATGACCAATTGCATTGAGATGATCAAGGTGAGAATCTAGATAAGGGTGGTGTAAATGAAAACAGGACTGAGGCGCATCTATCCTTGTCTTAAACTGGGAGTGGGAGAAATAGGTTACTATGGATAAACCCACCAGCAGGAGACACTCTACAAAATGAGACAGAGGGGCACAAGAGACCTCCTAGCCAGATGGGCAGTAAACAGCCATTTGGTTATGCCAACTATGAATGTAGTATATTGTCACTGTATGTCTCTTTCTTTGATGATGTTGGCAGAGTAATGAGGCTGATGCGGTTACGCTGGATGCAACACATGCCTACATTGCTGGGAAGTGTGGGCTGGTCCCAGTAGCTGTGGAATGTTATGGTGAGTCCCATTCTGCCCTGAGTCCTGAGAAGGAAAAAGATCAGGGGCACCATTAAAAACTTGTAAAGCACCAGAGGGCCTTGTGCTCAGCAGCTCATGGAAGGGAATGGAAGTCAAGAGTGCCCTTCCCAGTGCTTCTACTGACTGGTTTCACTTTTTGGTGAGTTATGTATTCTAAGCCTCAGTTTCTGCATCTACAAAGGGGACAGCGACTTGGAACTCAAGTGAAGTGTTGCAGTATTTTAAGGAAGTGTTTGAAATAATTTCAGGTCTTTGGACGAGAAGTTGTTTCATAGTTTCTAGGGTCAGAAGGGACCTGAACAGATCATCAAGTCTGACCCCCTTCCCTGGGCAGGAATGAGTGCTGGGATCATAATACCCCAGCCAGATATCTATCCAGCCTCCTCTTGAAGACCTCCAAGGCAGAAGAGAGTACTACCTCCCTTGGGAGCCCATTCCGGAGCCTGGCAGCCCTAGCCATAAAGTAATGCCTCCTGATATCAAGCCTGAATCTGCTGTCAATCAATTTGTGGGCATTATTCCTTGTTATCCCAGGTGGTGCTCAGGGGAACAGAGCCTCACCTATTTTCTGCTGGTCCCCCCTGGTGAGTTTATAGACGGCCACCAGATTCCCTCTGTCTTCTCTTGTGGAGGCTGAATAGATTCAGGCCCTTTAGTCTATCTTTGTAGGGCCTGGCCTGCTGCCCCCTAGTATGTTAGTGGCTTTCCTCTGGACCCTCTCAAGGTTAGCCACATCCCTCTTGAAGTGCAGCGCCCAGAACTGGACGCAGTACTCCAACTGCAGCATGACCAGCACCTCATAGAAGGGAAGGATCACCTCCCTGGACCTACTTGTGATGCATCTGTAGATGCATAACAAGGTGCAGTTAGCTTTACTGACCGCTTCCTTGCATTGGCGGCTCATGTCCATCCAGGAGTCAACAAGTCCAAGATCTCTTTCAGCCAGTGTGTTGTTGAGAAGGGTGTTCCCCAGCCTATAGGTATGTTGCAGGTTCCTTCTCCCTAGATGCAGCACCTTTCACTTGTCTGCGTTGAATTCCATTCTGTTCTCATCTGCCCACCTCTGTAACCTGTCTAGATCTAGTTGGATTCTGTCCCTCCCCTCCAGTGTGCCCACCTCGCCCTACATCTTGGTGTCATCAGTGAATTTGGACAGCGTGCTTTCCACACCCACCTCCAAGTCACTGATAAAGATGTTGAATAGCACAGGTCCGAGGACTGAGCCCGGAGGAACTTCACTGCCCGCATCCCTCCAGGTCGAAAACGACCCGTCCACCACCACTCTCTGGATGCGACCTTTGAGCCAATTTGCCACCCAACTGACTGTGTAGGCATCCTTGCCGCAGTTGCCTAGTTTTTTTTATGAGAATGCAGTGGGTAACAGTGTCAAAGGCCTTCTTGAAGTCCAGGTAGACAACGTCTACCTCAACGTCCGCATCCAAGGACTTGGTGACCTGGTCGTAAAAGGAAGCCAGGTTAGTCAGGCAGGATCTGCCCGCAGTGAACCCGTGTTGGTTACCCCTGAGCATTACCTCCCATGCTGGGCCCCCGCAGATGTGCTTCTTGATAATTTTCTCAAAGATCTTCCCAAGGACCGAGGTGAGATTAACTGGCCTATAGTTACCTAGGTCCTCCTTTCTCCCTCTCTTGTAGATGGGGACCACAGTGGCCCTTTTCCAGTCCTCTGGGACCTGGCCAGAGCACCAGGAGTGCTCATATAGCTGTGCCAGGGGCCCTGCTCTAACCTCTGCCAAGTCACTCAGTACCCTTGGATGAAGAGCATCCAGACCTGCTGATTTAAACATGTCCAGCCCCTCCAAAAGTTCCCTAACTAGATCATCCCTGACCCTAGGCATGGCGTCGTGCCCCTGAGCCTGTCTGTAATCCTAGTGGGGGTGTTGTCCCGATCCCTGCTTAGAAATATGGAGGCAAAGAACTCATTGAAGAGATCAGCTTTTTCCTTTGCTGCAATCACCAGATTGCCAAGCCTGTCCTGTAGGGGCCCCACGTTACCTGGTGCCTTCTTCTTACTCCCTATGTATTTTGAAAAAGAACTTGTTATCTTTAATTCTGGTCGCCAGCCATAGTTCCGTCTCTGCCTTGGCCTTCCCAACCGCCTCCCTACAATCACGAGCAACGGAGGTGTAATCCTCCTTGGTGATAGCCCCTTGCTTCCACTGATTATATACCACCTTTTCTGCACTCAGGCCCTCCTGGATGCCTTTACTGAGCCAAGGCGCCTTTTTAGCACTCTTGCCCCCTTTGGTTCACGTTGGGACTGACTCCCTCACACAATCCTGTTGTGACGTGCAATGGATTCTTAGAGATGGTGGAAGTGGTGCACGATTCTTAACTTTGAGAAACCAGAATCTGGAGGATGTATCTCTCCATGAACTCTTGTGCGGTGGGTGGAATGAAAAAAGTTCCTCTCTAGTCGGTGACACTGTATGTATTGTGGAAAGAAAAGATTCTGCAAAGAACTTAAACCAGTCTCTGACTGAAACCATCTAGGAAAGGGAGAAATACTTGATTCAATACTTTAGCGTGAGGAAGGAAACTTTCCTGCGTTCATTTTCCTCATCTGAGGAGCTTTCACTTTGTCTCACTGCAAGTCAACATCTTTATAACTACTGCGCCAGGCAAGCTCTCACTGCATGACAGCCTGGGGGCATGGCACCTAAATTGCGCTGGAGGTCCACTGCACAGTGACTCCCTTAATCTTGTTATTTTTGACATGCATCTCCCACCCCCGCTACTGATTGGTGGAGGGGCCCTGGTGTCCTTGCCACTCGCCATCTGCCCTTGATCAGCAAAAACTGTGATATATTTAAAACCATGGTTTTTGCCTCCCGGCCAATCAGGAACAAGTGGCAAGTGGCAGGGCTGCCAGGGCCCCTCCCAATCAGTGGGGTGGAGGTGGGGAGGGGTACAGTAAAAATAACAAGATTAAAGGAGCCACTGCACAGCATGCTTCTGGCATGATTTAGGTAGATCCCTAGGCATAAGCCATCAGCATTTTTTCAATGGCAGGGATGGAAGAAATGGAAAGGTCTGGCACAGGCCTGTAGTCCACCTTTAAGCGCCCATGCTTTACTTAGTTTTCTCAGCCACACCTTCCCCTTAGGTATAGTATTCACTTGCTGTGGTATTGATATCCAGTCACATGCTCCATCTATACTGAGGTGCTAAATCACCAGTTCACATCCCCATGTCTTTTGGTAGTATTCTCCTGGTGTTTGCTTCTCCTATCCAGGGAAGGAATGTGGCCCAGGTACTGGAAGAACAGAGAAGCTAATCCGTTTTACAGATGGAGGTAAGGAAAATGTTTGATTTCCAATTAATGGATTTTTAATGAAATTAAGTGAAGTAACTCCACCAGAGTGGCTCAAGCAGTTTATCTCGGATAAAGCCTGGGTCCTTAAACATGGCTTATCACCAACGTGGCCAACAGTAAGCATCAGACTCTGTGATGTAGATAGAGTTCACTCCACCCTAAGCATTGTGGTCAGGTAGCAGCCCCTAAACACACTTTTTATTTTCCTTTAAAAAAATTAAACAAAGCTCCATAATGGACAGAGGAAGGGAAGGAGACAACTGGAAGAGGCGACTGTGATCTTCTGTAGAGACAGGAATGGCATTTACCAGGGTGTCTTATTGGTTCTGAAAGGAACTGCTGTTGCCCCTGGCTAGAAACTTTGCTGTCCCAGACTCTGAGGCCAGTACTGGATTTCTATTGTTAAAGAGGCCATGCAGGTCCTCTGCTGTAGCCAAAAAAGCTCAGTAGACAGACTTCCCCTCCTGTCCTTGTCCTGAATGTTTTTTAAGGAGGATACAATAGTCTAAAACTTACTTTTAGTATGGGGTATGTTCCTTTCCTGGACACTTTGCTGTCTGTCTGACAGTGTATCACTGTCTTTGTCCCACAGCACTGTCCCCTATCTATGCTATAGCTGTGGCAAAGAAGAATGCCAAGCACGTAAATGTTCATAACCTGGGGGGACGGCGCTCCTGCCACAGTCACCTGTACAGTCCTGGAGGATGGCTGCTTCTCTCTAGATACACAGTAGGAGCTCTGGAGAATGATGCTGAGAACTGTGATATTAGCTCTGGTAAGAACTGTACCAAGATACCTGCCAGGTAGGCCATACCAAGGCATTTCAAAACTGGGGAGAGAAAAACAGATAAGGGTGGTGGAGTGGGGAGGAGGGAAGAAAGGAGATGGATTGGAGAACTTGCAGGTGACCTAATACATTCACATCTGCCGTGCTTGTACCTTCCATGAAGCTGTTTTAGTTGAATGGATTTCAAGTGAGAGTAGTCTTAATGAATGTATGTGATGCATATCTCTCACTCTGCATTCCTCTGGCATATAGATTTTACCAAGTATTAAATGCAACCCAGAATAATCAAAAGGTACCTTTCATCCCTGACAGGTGCTCTTCACAATCAGCCTTAAAAATCAGTCAGATACCTGCTTGGTACCCAGATTCTAATGGGCCAAGATGTATAACTAGGTACCCTTCTGCCTCCAGCTCCCCAAGTGTTAGGAACTATGAGCAAGAATGTCTCTCCTGATCCCTAGGAATGTTAATTAAATCTTCCAGAGCTTGGCATGTGGACAGCATCTCTGGCTGTATCCTTTCTTCTTTCCACAAGCACACAGCCAGTCTTGTTTACTTGTGGAGCTTGTAAGTATTGCTTAAACATATTGTTTGGCAGTCTTTCTCGTTCAGTAAGAGCTAACTTATGATCTGCTCTCTTTCACTGCAAGTCTCAGGGCATGTTTTAATGAGCAGTAGCTTACTTTACTGTGCGTTAAAGCGTCATGCAAAAAAATCAACGCAAATATATTAATAAGCAGCAAAATAGGCATCTTCACATTAAGCGTCACTTAAAAAGCATGCATTTTTGGTATTGCACAGTGGAGCAACCTAATGTGCATTTATTTAGTGTTTTACATTGTAGATACTAAATTGAATGTGCATTAATTCGCTTTTCCTAATGCATGTGTAGACGCGCCCTCAGAGCATGCACGTCCAAGCGATAAAGTGATTTCTAACTTTTTGTCATAGAGACCAGAAGACTGGCTCTGAGGAACATAGAGGAAATGCCAGTTCTTTAAATGAAATATAAGAGCAGCCCACTGTCTTGTGTAGG